ACCCCCTCGGGAATTCGACTCCGCCGGGTGCAATTTCTCCTGGGGATGCTGAGGCTCGTGTCCCCGGTGGGTGCCGGATCCTCACATCCCTGCTCCCGGCGAGCGCTCCTTGGGATCATCCTGCATTGCCTCGCGCCACGGAGATGCTCAACCCGGAGAGGGACAACCAGCCTCTCATTTTTGCTGCTTTTCTTTTTTTCTTTTTTTCTTTTTTTTTCCCCCCACCCCTCCCAAACGAAATAAAAACCCCTCTAACCTCCCTTCTTCAGCTCCAACTCGACTTGTCTACTTTGAGCCAGGATTACAGAAATGGGTAGGGGAGGCAAGTGGAAAATAACGCCGCGGTGCCAATCTCCTCGGCAGAGATTTCAGCCGTCCCCAGGCCATTTATGCCTGTTGGTTCCTCTCTTCATCCCCCGAGGTGCAGATATTGCCGCAGATCCCTCTTTTCTCGGAAATTTCCCTTTTCCGTGCAACCTTCCTCTCCCTTCTTCTTATGCACTAGAAAAAATAGTACAACCCTGACGAGGCTTGCAGCATTCAACCGCTTCTCTTAACCCTTTTCTGCCAGGCCCAGAGGAGGGGAGGTCGCGTTTGTCCCAGTTTTTTTTTCTCCTTTTCCTGCCTTTGCCTCCCCACCACTCGCTCCCCAGCGACCCGCTCAGGAGTTGAGCTGGGTTTGACCTTCCCTGGCTCCTCCAAGCATCACGCCAGAACACCACAAACACCATCTTTCTGCTGCTGCAGCAGGAAAGGTCTGGCAGCCACAAATGCCCATGTCACCAAAAAGAAAACCAAAAAAAAAAAACCCAAAAACAACCAACCTTCGTGTTTGGTTTTTTTGTTTGTTTGTTTGTTGGTGTTTTTATTTTTTTTAAATTAAATAAACACACCGTTTTTCTCCTGTCCCTAAACTCTCTCCTCCCCTTTCTCCCTTCCCAAAACACCCTGGATTTGTTCAACGGCACAGAAATTTCCTCCCTTTTTTTAAACATTTTTTTAAAATTTATTTTAACAGGTTGATTTTTATTTGTCATGGGCTCTGGGCTTCTTTCTGTGACTCCAAACCCAA